TCTATATTACGCGGGGAGTCCTAAGGTGCCTCCTCGGGTTTTTGGCCCTCTGGGGCCAAAAAACCCTGCGGGGCAATAAAGCAGTGTTACTCGGTAAGATGCAAATCGTCATTGTTTTATTTATTCTCATTGTTATGCACCGACCGTTCAACTATCACGCGATAGAAATCTCGAGCTCCTACTCTATCTGTTTTAAAGAGAGTTACATCTGAGAGTCAAAAAAAGCATTTAGGAGAAATACAAACGAAAAAAAAAAGAAAGAAGAATTATAAAGGAGACATAGAGATCTGACTCGGGTATTTCATCATTCGACACAATTACGGTTGTCTGTGATGTACGTACATTTTCCTCGCTCCGCGTAAATATCACCTTGTACAGCTACTTCTCTTAGCTCTGTTATTGTCCAACTAAAGATGGAGTTTTATGCGCTTATGCTCATACTGTCAATTCAAAGCTTGTTTATTATGTGATCATCACTGGCAACCAGTGATATTTTGAGATTGAATTAGACTTCTACGAACAACTTATAGAGGACTTTCTCAGTTTCCACCAGACGGATGAACTTATGCTTGCTTTGAAATGCAAATTTATATAGAAAAAATTTCCTCGTGACCAACGTCATGTTGTCGACTGGTGAGCAAAGAGGAAAAAGGGTCGCTCTGTTTTTGATACCACGCATATTGCCTGAGTAGTTCATAAAAAACTTTCATAGTTCATTTAAAACAATAGTGGACAAAGAACTTGAGAGGCATTTGAGTTGTGATCGAGAATACAACTGGATTGAGATTTCCGAATTCAACCTCCCCGCTGAGTTGTTCATTTTGAGACTACTGGATCAGTAAACGTTTTACTATGTCTTCAGCAAGATAACTCGTTCATTTGAAACACACGAAGCGTAACTGAAAGTAAGATTTTCTATTTCTCAATCTCGACACAATCTTTGCGTATCGCAATGAAGACTTGCTTTTCAAAAAGATGTTTTCTCTTAATCCTGGTTCATCGTAGGATTTGTAGTATTCGTTATTTACCTTTATTCTGGTGCTTTTGAGTACTAAACAAATAGCGCATTTTGTCGGCAATCAGCCGCATCATATTTGAAGAAGCAGTATGGCAAAGTTTTAAAACATGCCGTGCCTAATCATCCTAAACTTGACGGATTCAGCAAAATATATTTGATGAGGAAGCTGGTAAAATATAAGAGAGACAATAATCAACTAAAATATTGACATGGATTAAAGATGAAAGGCTTGAAGGATTAATCTTGGAGCTTTACGATATGCAAAAACTGTGATGTTCTCATTTTTTTAGCTCTGTGTGGTTCTGCCCAAATGGTTATGCAAAAATACTTTCCGCAGCACTGATCTTCAATAACCCGTCTTTGACTTACTGTATTTCACTCGCGTATTAAAATGCAACTGATTACGAAAATTTTAACACAAGCCTTTGGAAATAAGCGTATGGTGAAGATATACTTGATACATAAGCTACTTTTTTCTCTTTTCAGGACGATTGCATAGCCTCTTCACCTACCTTGGGTGTAATTATTTCGTTTAAAGTACCATTCTGAGAGGTAAGTAGATTCATGAATTATGAATTGATGCGCACTAAAAGGTCACTTTATTTGAATTTCATACTTTAGTAAGGGTCTGTTTTGTACTCAGACCAGCTGTTTTACTTCCAGCAGTCGTTACTGATCTAGATTAAAGGGACAGGGAAATGCTTTAGTAAAGATGGGAACACGCAATGCGTATCAGTCAAGGCAAAAGTTGCTATTTTCGAAGGCGTCAGGAAACTGAGAGCGAATCCCTTTCCTCACTGTTCTTTTTCCGGTGCAAGAGAATGACTTGCCTTCTCTAATTCAATAACATGTTTTCCGAGAACTCGAGTTAGGCGTTATTTATCGATGATATTTTTGTCAACAAAATTATTGTGCCTTTAAATTCAATCTGATAAACCAGAGGACATTTGACCACAAGTAATGTTTGGGACAAATCGTGCTGTCTTAGTTATATAGTTAACTAATAACTAAGAGCATGAGTTGTAGGGAAAAATTGTTGTCCTGCATTCTGATCTTGACTATATAGTGCATTTGTTGTAAAGGTTGAGTGGCATAAGATACTGGACTCTGTTTCTGTCATTACAAAGTTTGAACATAACACAACTCCCTCAGTCTGTGGTTAACATTCTTATGCACACTATCATGCAGATAACATATGATACTTCTTGAGATTTACTTGTTTTTTTCAACTGGTATATCTTCCAAAGTAAGTTAAGGGTGTTTGATGCAATTTGGGTCGAATAAAAGCTGGCTTTTCTCTCACTTTTTGCACAAACCTTAACACAACTAGTTTTTGTCGTACTCATATTTTAACTTAGTTTTCAACCTACAAATGAAAAAATGATGAAGTTTGATGCTGATTGAATATTTTCCACACAAACACCCTGCTTTTCTGTGACAGATAATTTTAGCTTGTTCATTGGTATTCTACAAGGGTCATGATTCCAATCATGGTGTTGCGACACTGCATTCACATTGAACATGTTTGTAATTCTTAAGAATACAAACTTTGCATGACAAATCTGAATTTCTTTCCATGTTTTATTGTTACTAAATGCATCATGATTACGAACAGATGATTGCATTGGGTTCTCTAATATGTTGTCGCAAGGTAAAAAGGAAGCCAGGATTTTGGCATGATACCAACCCAATCCCATTTAGGATCCCAGGTGGTGATGGCGGGATCTTACAATGCAGGTGGGATCCAGGTAATCACCAGGTAATCCTGACTGGGATCTCGCCTTGCACTCAGCAATCCAGGTGGAATTAGCGGGATCCCATCTGTCACACATATGTCTCAAAGTCACCCCAACTGGGATCCTGCCAACCACCAGGTATTCCATTTGGGAAAAGTGGGATGTTATCTGGGACTTAGAACTTGTTTCTCTATAAAAGCTTTTTGCTGTTGAACTTCAAATTGAAATTACAAACTTTTAAACCACAGTCTGGAGTAAAAGAAAAAGAGGAAAAAGAAATTGCATCTAAGTGTTATGGTGGAGACTTGGAGCATATTATGGAATGAAAAAAGGCATTTATATAGCTCTTATTACAAGCATCTTTTGGCACAAAACGATTGGATACAAACTTAGAATCATTTGGTGAGTGCAAGTGGTTGAACTTTAAAAGGAAATTGGAAAATTATAGGCCACGACTCGAATTGTGCCAACTTTGAACTGTTCTCCAATGCATGTTTCGCGATAGTTTCAAAAGTCACCATTCATTTCACAATTTTCTGAGTGACTGATTAGACGTTTGGGAGTACAAGCTTGCTTGTGGTTTTTGCAAATTCTATGCTCAGTACGCTGTATACAGGTCTCAAAAACTTTCAGAATTGTACTTGTGGGTGTTACTTGGGATTTTTTAGAGGATGCTATATATTCGTGGCTGGGATCCATCATCCCACTTGTAGACAATAGACAAGACCCTTAGTAGAAAGGACAGGATCCCCATCTGGGATTGTATGGGAACTGAGTTAGGATCTCAATTTGGAATTTTTCTTTGGGTGAGGTGGAATCCAATCCAGGATTGTATGGGCGTTAGGCGGGATCCCGCCTGGAATTGTACCTAGCACTGAGGGCATCTCACCTAAAAGTTAAGGCAGGATCCCAACCAGAATTGTAGGTGGGATTTACAAGATCCCACCCGAACATTTTTAAGCCATACCATGTAGGAAGTTCCCAAATCTCGCTCAGGATCCTAGATTGGATTTGTGGGGTCCCTCTTGGGATTGGTGGGATCTGGCCTCCAGTTTTTACTTGGTGCACAAACGACAATATGTTTTCAGGTAGTTTGCTGATAACTGCATTTGTGGGATCGATGTTCACTTTTCTCTTTTATTACTTTATGAACAAACAAATATTATGGCTCTTCCTCTGTTACTACAGCTAAAAGTTAGCAGTCTCATCGTGAATTGAATTTTAGAATGAAGACTTTGGTCAAACCTGGACGTGTGTGTTTAAAATAAGGAAATATCTTGGGGAATATGCTGGTTTGCAACTGGTCTATAAGCAACACATTATCGCATATGCCCGAGCTAAAGCTGGGCATATCCCCGGATACCCAAAATGATACTCCTCAATTTTCGAACCTTACGCATACTTTGAGAAACGCGTTTGTTTGAAATTTAATTCCAGGGAGGGACTGATTAGCTATTGTTAAGAAGGAGGAACGTGTTTGTTTGCTCGTGAAGTCGTTGCAGCAGATATTTAATCATTGATAATCAAATAATAATACAAATATTGGAAGGATAATAAACACAATAACCTCTATTTGTCGTGAAAATATGCTCGTTTATTTGTCCTCGGACATTATCAGTCCCTCAAAGCTAACAGTTTCCCTCAAGCTTTGCTCTCGCAAATCCATTCTCATTTCAGAACAAATAGTATTCGTGGGCATTGTTTATGCCAATTGGAGGCATTTCTTTCTGTTTTCCCTGGTTATTAGCTGAGCGTATTCAATCACATGACGTTTTGAGACCAATCAAGTGTGAACAAATACATTTGGTGCGTGATAATGAACAATAGTTGGCAGAGCAGCTCGGTAGGCTGTTGCACACCCCAACCACACCAAGTCTTCTGCTGCCTCAGCAAAATTATGGATTTTTTTACAAGTCTCCACTCTATTCCGTATTGGTGGTTTGAGTGTTAATGTATTAATTAAGACTCAAACTTCCAGGGATGTCAGCACAAAATTGAAGAAAATGTTCAAACTTAAGTTAATTACACCTATTTTGAATGACAGTCTCTCCAAAGTACTGATAATTGTCTTTGAATGCTAAGATATTCACAGAAATTTCAGATAAGTTTTAAATGTCTCTTCCTATGGTAGGTCGGGGAGACCTGGCAGTCAGGTATAATTTATGCAAGTCGTCGAGTCAGTTGGTGCATTAATATTAATAATTATTTTCTTATGCTTCTTGTTAGGTACTGATACCTATGGAAATATGGATGATAGCTTTAAACTAGTTCTCAAGTTACAAACTCCTCTTGGAGGATTTCAGAGTATTTTGTTTCCTGCATCGCATCTGATCATTTTTGGCATTCTACAAAGCTATCATGCCAATGAGAGATTTGACTTCAACTGTGATCCCAAACCCAGTGATTTTATCAAACAACTTTGCTATGACAACTACATTTCCACAGTTACCAAGCCTCATGGGTTAATACCTAGGAACGTTGTTGCCATAACCTTCAGTGTTTTGTGTGCATGCTGGATCGGCTTTGCAATTTATGGTGTTGTGACCCTTCGAAAAAGACCAGGATGCAAGGAAAAAAACACAAAGAAATTTCTTCGCGCCTACTTCATCCATGTATTCTTTCGAATATTTTTCCTGGGTGTTATGTTAGGGCTGGTCTGCAGTTACCAGACAATTTTTTTACCTTCGGTTTTTAAGTGTGGTGTTAATGAGACCTTGCAGACCAACAGTCAAACCACGCCAAGTCCACTCAACCAGAAAAAATTAAAACTGCAATGTAATGATCGTCATCACGAGGAGAAATCAAACCTAAACATAGCTGTTATCTCTGTCGATGCCTTCTTTATGGTGCTCAGTATATTGGAAGTCCTGCATTTGTACCGTATCAGGGAAAACTATGTGCAAAAGTTGTTAGGAAACCTTGAAGACTTTGAGATTCAAGAGTTACTGCAAAGTAAGTAAATATTTTATAGTTTAATTGCTAGCAAATTACCATAGGCAAAACACTGGTGCAGAAATGTTAGTTAGCGATATAATTATGGCAATGACTAAACCAAAGAAAGAGATTTAGCATGAGCATATGGGAGACAACCCAAAAAAATTATAGGAAGGGAGGGGGGAGTGTTTGTTTATATATTACACTTCATAATTCTAAACAACCTATTTGTGAGAGAGTCTTATTGGTACTGTTTGGTTCACGTGGTCAAATTCCATTACTGAGAGACCAAATGACGGTAAAGAAAGCAACAACTGGCACTTGTCAATATTCCATTGACCCCTTCTCGGCAAGAAATAGAAATTTCAATGAGTCACAACTTCCCCCTAATATCTAATAACCCTTTAATAACAGTGGAATAGTTGAAAATACAACGGAAGCAGCCTAGAGCTTGATAAAAAGAAGCAACAAAGGATGCTTCTGATGCTTTGCTGGCCCTCCTTGACTACCGCACAACTTCTGCCCAAGGCCTTCAGACCAGCCCAGTAAAGTCGCTCTTGTGTCGATGAAATATGCAGGCCGGGAAGTATCTTTTAGCACCCAGACTTGGAAATGGAAGATTAATCTATTACAAGGCTGCGTCCAAAAATAATGATTATTTAGGGATCAATTAAGGGCAGATGTTGGAATTTGAAGCTATGAGGTGGTTCCAGAATGTGGGAGGAAATTTCGACACAGATGTGTTCACCCACGGAAATAAAGTGAAGCTTTAAGCTCTCGCTTAACAATTGCAGTGTGGCCATTTGACCTTTCCACTGAGGCGTTAACGACCCGACTTTACATCCTGCTAGGTGCGACCACAAAATCTAAGGTCTGATCTTTTTCTTGTTAAGAGGGTCACAAGTATACATCATAGAAATGTACTTGTATCTGTAATACCCGTTTGACTCTTTAATTGCTTTCCGTATGCAACAATCGACATCTGTTTACCCACCCGTGGGTGACATATTTTGTGAGATCTCAAGGGTTTCAGTGGCCCCTAAATTGGGGACTGGTACGAATCAGCCAGTGAGTCGAGCACGAATGACTCAAACTGGGTATAAATCGACTGGGCGCGAAACATCCACAGGTATGACAGACTAGGGAACGAGTTTTGTAGATCATCTATGTATGCTCAAAGGAAATAAAATTATTTAAAACGTCTATTTCAAGCTTACCACTTTTTGGATCTGATATGTTAGGACCCGTTGCATTCCTATCACTCGTTGAAATTATTAAATTGACGTGTACTCGTGTTTTACGTGATTACAATGAGTATTTAGCATTTATCAAAGATGAAGTTTAATAGAAGCATAATTTTGAACATGTTTTCCAGAAAAACCAACCATCACAAACACAGAAGTAGAAGTTGACAAGTATCTCATTGTTACCTGGTCAGCACCTGAGGCCAGCAGCAGTAATCGCAGCATTAAATACCGTCTGGAATGTAGGAAACAATCCATGACAGGATCCACAAAAATCTTTCAACAAGGAGATATTGTTGAAACTCGCCACACGATAACTGGTCTTGAGTATGACACAGAGTACGAAGTAAAACTGTTCGCTGTCAACGAACAAGGAGACAGTGAGCCAGATGTCAGAACATTTAAGACAAAGAGTGGTATGTACCTTTATTTAAGACTTCTCACTTTACCTTCGGCAGAATTGTTTAAAATGCAATAAAATAAATACTGTTGGGTCCTAAATACAGGAGTAATACTCTTTTCATGAGGCGAAGAATTGTGAAACTTTGTGACAACAGGTTGAATACTCATGCTGTAGCTCTCATATAGGAAAAATAATTATTGGCCCAACATTTTTTTACTATCGTCACCTTTGATTTGGTCGTAAATTACATTGATGAAACTTGCTAAAAAGAGTAGTTCATCACGGTTTTTTTTAACCTTCCTTATTATACCAATTTGATTAATTTTATTTATTTGGTATTGATTTCCAGTCAACCACTTGAAAATGATTGCCTCTGAAATAAAATAGTTCAATAATTATTGTATGGAATTATAAATTTCGTGTCATTATATTGAGATCCGCAAATTTGCTTTATTCTATTCTTACTTCTTATTTTTATCCCAATCATTACATACTTGTTGTTGATGTTGATGCTGCGGTTCTTTCCCTGCATAATTGATTTTATCACAGGGAGGTTGGTTAATACCTTGCAGATCAAGAAATATTCTTCTTCCTGACGTTTTTGCATTCATTGCCACTGAGTACCATTCCTCCCGTGCGACTTTAGGTCTGCAATTAAAGTCTACCTTTTCGATGACTTTGCTGTTGCGGGCGCTTTATAGGCAAGTGTTGGGAGGGGATTAGGTAATTTTTGATTGAGGAAGGGGTGGGGGGGGTGTCAAAATTTACTTCTCGATCTACCCTCTCCCATGCCCTCCCCCCATCCAATCGAGCTTTGGGACATTCGGATTCGCAACTGTTTTGTTAGCTCGACTTTCGTCCCAAACTAGATAAGACTGGAACCGATTGTCACAAAAATCGTCGTGTTTCGACATGTGATACAGTAAATCTATCTCTAAGAGTCTAGGACTGCTCTTATTCCGTCAAAAAGAACTGAAATGACATTGTAGGGATAAGAAAAGTTTTCTTTGCTTGTATCTTTAGCTAAATATGGATCAACCCATAAAGTTAAACTTAGACTTTGAGCAAAAGAAAAACGGCGTATAAAACAGAACTTTACGGATTTTAAAGTATTCAGATGCAAAGATCTTACTTTAAACTCTGCATTCCAAATCTCCGAAGTCGTAACCAAACCAGATCGCCGTTTAAGTTACAGATTTGTGTTTTAAAGATAAAGAAATCTAGACCAAAACGTCCCGGACTAGTCACGAATGCGTAAAGAAGCTTGTTTAGTGCGAACCTAGCCCTAGATCTATTGCTTTTGAAAGGCCTTCGTCTGCTCGGTGAAGAAAATTGACTTATTTTTAAACCAAGGCGATCTTATGTAGTTGAGTCCTTTCCAGCTCATAGTTTAATTATTATCACTTGAATTTCAAAGAGAATCCAAGTTATGGAAATTTTGTTATAGGGAGCAGACAGAAATATCTATTCTGTAATTAGTTACTGGAGGTTTTCAGTGTAAACGTTGGAGTATTGGAGATTTCACCATCTTTCACGGCTGTAGGTGACTTATCAGTCAAGCGTTCTTAATGATATGTCGCGCGACCCTTGTCAAGCAATTCTGACAGCACTACATTCCCCTTTCAAGGATTACTTGTCATGTGATCCAGTGCTGTTGTTACCAACATTGACATGGGGAAGAGGGCAGGGGAGAGATTTGTTAACGATTATGACGAATTATAACCTAACCATAAATATTCGTGTAATTTTATAGGAAAATTCATTACCTGAGAGTGGATTCCGCGTTAGATTGCACGCGAGAACCGATGTCACACGAATCGCTAAGCGACGAGTGCGATATCGATATTCAATCGTTTAATTGAATAAAATTAATAATGGTAATTGAACTGAGTGAAGTGCAATTTGGGCTGAAATCATACGCGAGTTGCCAAAAGATCCTCTTTGTCATCATGGCTGTAATGTGTATAATAATTTCAGTTCACGTTATAATCATGATTATCTTATATTTTTTGTTCCATTAATTTTTTTATATGTTTTAAACATTTTCGTAGATACTTCTGATATATTTGTAATCAGAAGATGTTGAAATTCAGGGATCGTACTGATAACAGGATACTCTACTTTTAGGCTTCTGACAGGACTACCCTAAGTTTTGCCATTGGTTATTTTTATATGAATGAGTCTATTTGACTATCTATCTATCTCCAAAGAAACAATCCGCTTTACCCTTTTGATAGGGATGGATTTGTTACCCGTTAATCACATTTGACACTAGTAAGCACTCAGCTCTGTGCTAAAGTTAATCTCTGTACTGTACCGATAGAAAGTATTTAAACTGCATTTCTTTGTGTTCGGATTATTAATAGAATATTCCGCTTTTCTTTTCCATAGCCATAAGTCATTACACAACATATTTACAAGCATCTATTATAAGCCAAACAGAGTTCCAACCCAAGCTGCTTGCCTCTCGCACGATTTCCAATGCGAAAACAGACGAAATATTCACTAATCTCCTCATACAACATGGAAGAAAAGCCCTGATTAAGAATGACGAGACATATTATTCAAGGAGAAAAGTGCTTGAGTACTACGGGAATGTCAGCGGTACTCCAGTCAAGCACTGCAGTGAAATATTTCTAGGCATGATTGATGATCAGGAGAGTGCTAATTCTATTCTTGTCGTTGGAAAAGCAGGGATTGGGAAATCCCTGTTTTGCCAAAAGGTGATTCGCGATTGGGCCAACAACAAATTATTGCAGGCACAAGAAGACACTGGAATCCCCAATTTAAAATTTGTGTATTTGCTTACTTTTCGTCAATTGAATTTGCTTGAAAATAAGTGTGTGACTTTAAGAGAAATCTTAAACTTTTCCTCAGTACTGGATGACAAATGTAACATTGATGACACTTTATTTGAGTACATTGTAGAGCATCCCAAGGAAGTTATGATCATCCTTGACGGCTATGATGAGTATTCACAGCAAGACTACATCGCTGGAAACTTAGAAGAAAAGCATCCCAATAACGGTAGTTGTGAAATGCCGGTGGCCGCACTATGTTCAAAACTCATCAAAGGAAAAATCTTGAAAGGGGCTATCATCATGATTACCTCGCGACCAGATGAATCGGACAGGATGGGAGGAATCCGTTTTAAACGGTACGTGGAAATTGCGGGATTTTCGTCAGAACAAGTTAAAGAGTACATCAAAAATACTTCAAAGACGACGAAAATATGAAGAACGCTGTACTTAAACAAGTCATGAACAATAGGGACCTTGTCAGTTTTGCTCATATTCCTATGCTGTGTTATCTATTGTGCTTCGGGATGGAGTATACCCTAACCGAATCAGGAAATCCTGATGACCTTCCTGTCTCAACAACCAACATTTACACCAAACTTGTTGATATATTTGAACTTAAGCACTGCGCCGAGTCAGAATACAGACAGAAAGAAATTCCTGAGCAATTCAAGCCCCCCCTGTCATTGAGAACACTTTAGATAAATTATCAAAACTAGCGGCTAAACTGCTGCTTGAAAGTAAGCCAACTTTTGATGAACGCGAAATAGAAAGCGAGTTTGAAGCGGAAGAAGTCAACAAACTGAAAGGTAGCGGGCTTCTTTACTGTGGTCAGCCTTTCAGGACTGCATTGATTAGAACCACGAAACACTTCAGCTTCACACATCTGACCGTCCAAGAATTCTTGGCCGCTCGTTGGTTTGTAAAGAGAAATCGTATTCCAGACGCGAAATGCTCTAATATGGTTTTCCAATTCATGGCCGGGATTTTGTCGAGTGAGGGAAAGGAGAAACAGATGGAATGTTTAATGCATTCACCCATCATGTATGCCAATCTTAGAATGACTTGTATGAATGAGTATCAAAACAAAGAATTCGCTAAATATTTCATCAGCTATCATCCCAAAGCGCTAAATATTTCATACAACGGGATGGCTTTGAAGGGTTTATCAGATGTAGACTACATTGGACTATCATTTGTGTTGGACATTATCAGTGAACTAAATAAAGAGAGAGCTCAAGAGACACAACGCAAACGTTCTAAGTTCGTCAAAGTTGACAGGTTAGATCTTCAACTATCACAGCTAACACGGTCTGGAATACAACGACTCTGTAATTCACTGAACAATGAACACTGTCGTGTGTCTAACCTGACGTTATTCCAGATGAACTTCACTGATGGGTATGTTTTTGGTAATAAATTAGTATCAGGGAGGTTAACCATACCAAGTGTAAAGGACACTAAGAACGCTAATACCCTTGTTGCCAGGCTGTGTGAAGAATTAGGGATTTGGATGTAAATAGAACCGCAAATATTTTTAATAAAGGTTTTTTTTCTACTGGCGACATTGTTTACTGTACTTGGTTTGTGTGTGTAGACCACTCAAGAGTTGTGACAAGTAAGAACTGGGGTCGGGGGAGGGGTGGGTAATCTTCCGTGAGGATATTCTGCGTATAAGGAAGCTTTTGAACAGGAACGTTTTGATAAAGTTTCTCGCGGTAAGAAAAAAAGAGGAAAATGTTCTCTCGCTCACCCGATTCTGATTTCATTTTCGGTGAAATTTCATCCTTCTGAGTACTGCAAAAAAACTAGAGACAGTTTTCTTTTATTTTCATCAAGCAACAATTTTTCGTTTTGCCTCCCTCCGTCAAAGGCTTTCCCTCCCCCCCCCCCCCCCCCCTCACTTACTTGCTCGCATCCACACGAGCACGTACAAAGCAACTGACATAGAAAGCCATTGTACGTTTTCCGAAACCGGTTTTGCTGTCTATAACAGTTCTTTTAAGAACTCCATGGCCCCTATTGACGACAGTGAAGTCATCGCCAGAAAAACAGCTCTGATTCGAAGGACAAAATCCCATCGTCTCAGCCAGCCTCCAAACGTCCCAGCGCGAAAGCAGGTACTAAACGAGCCAGTGCAGAATCAAACGACGACTTGCCTTCGTCAAAACCAGCTCCCAAACGTGCTAGGAGGGAAGCGAGTTTCAACAACCTGCGGAACATAATTGTTGACAAAGAGAGACTGCGAGAACAAAAACGGAGTCCATTTTTGTCCTTGAAAGAAGGAAGAGGGAATTAAAGTGGTCTGTCAATGCTAAACGAAGAGCATTAACAGTCAAAACCTCCGATCCCAACAACATCTTTGGGAGACCTTATGAGACTGATTCTTGAAGAAATCTCTTTCAAATTCAACAACAAACACTATCTACAAACACTCGCAATAGCTATGGCAACAAAAATGGCGGTAGCTTTTGCAGTCATATTCATGGCTCATATTGAGAAACAGCTACTAACTAGCTACAAGCCCGCAGAAACCATTTCTTTGGAAAAGATACATTGATGACATTTTTGTGTGTGGACCATTCCCGAAACCGAAATCAACAACTTCATTGATTTTGCTAACTCATTCCGCGCCACCTTTAGATTCATGAATGAACAGTCATCAAAAAAAATAGTTTTTCTCGATACTGAAGTGTTAAAAGGACCGAGGTTTTTACCGATAGCAAAATCGTTGATGTTTAAACATATTACATGCCGACAGAAACATTCCAAGATACACACAGTTATCTTCACGCCACCTTCTCAGTATTAACCCTTTACACCCTAACATCAGTATGTATACTCTCCACACTGTTCACTATACACCCTAACATCAGTATGCATACTCTCTACACTGTTCTCTATACACCCTAACATCACTATGCAAACTCTCCACACTGTTCTCTATACACCCTAACATCAGTATGCATACTCTTCACACTGTTCTCTATACACCCTAACATCAGTATGCATACTCTTCACACTGTTCTCTATACACCCTAACATCAGTATGCATACTCTCCACACTGTTCTCTATACACCCTAACATCAGTATGCATACTCTCCACACTGTTCTCTATACACCCTAACATCAGTATGCATACTCTCCACACTGTTCTCTTTACACTCTAACATCAGTATGCATACTCTCCACACTGTTCTCTTTACACCCTAACATCAGTATGCAAACTCTCCACACTGTTCTCTTTACGCCCTAACATCAGTATGCATACTCTCCACACTGTTCTCTATACACCCTAACATCAGTATGCAAACTCTCCACACTGTTCTCTTTACACCCTAACATCGCTATGCATACTCTCTACACTGTTCTCTATACACCTTAACATCAGTATGCATACTCTCCACACTGTTCTCTATACACCCCTAACATCAGTATGCATACTCTCCACACTGATCTCTTTACACCCTAACATCAGTATGCAAACTCTCCACACCGTTCTCTATACATTTCCTAAGGTGCTGACAAAGGAGAATTAGCTTAATGATCCAGAGCTTCTGTGGTTGTTGATCATTTCCATAATTCTCATGACCTTAGTGCGTGACTAAAGGGTAATATTGTAATGAGAAATTAGATGCTAGTCACTCTTAGGGGCTAAACGGTTAAGAAGGATTTTGTAAAATGAGAGGCACTGCGCTTACTGAGAACAAACTCAGTTAAAGAATCTTTTGAGTTAAAGAAGAAATAATTTTTATCTCGCCTCATAAAACGAAGCTACCCTCAGGACCTCGTCCAAAAGGTCTTTGCCGATGCCCAGTTCTCATCACGCAACACGGCTATGAGAAACAAACCGAAATCATCTAAAAAGATTTTCCCGTTCGTTCGGACTTTCAACCCTGCTAACCAGAATGTCAAAAAGATTCTTATGAAACACTGGCACCTTATTTCAGGTAACAATAACCTGGTGCAAATATATCCTGATCCCCCAATTGTTGCTTGTCTGAAGGTCTTTAAAGTATTCTGTTGTTAGAGCACAACTTCCTTCACTTTAATTACACAACAGCATTTTAGAAGTTATACACGATAAGGATTTAATTAATGGAAATACTACAAGACGAGGCAAAATCCGAACAACAGGTAATTGTTATAAGGTTTATAATTGGATGATATGAATTACGCCTCAGATTTAGTTATGGCTAAACCACGTTCGTTTCTATGCAAACCCAAAACAAGTCGTCAAATGCAAGGTATTTAGAGTACACCACAGTTATACTGATGACGTCCGAGGTTAAGGTGGCCGAACGAAAATCAAACAAGGGTAAGTTTGATGGCAATTTTCTAAATAAGGTTTGGTGTCTAAATACCAGGAAATGATAATGTTTTATCATTTAAACAAGGGTACAGCACACTGTGCCTCCCCTCCCACCTGACAAGTTCTTCTGTTAGAGGTGCCATCCATACTTCTCATACAAAAAGAAAAAGCATTCTCTGTTTGATTCTCCTCTCCCCAGCCCCCCCCCACTACTTTCATGCCTCCCCTCCCACCTGTCAAGTTCTTCTGTTAGATTTGCCATTCATACTTCTTATATGAAAAGAAATAGCATTGTCATTTTATTCTCCTCCCACCCCACCCCCCTTTCCCTCTCCAACCACCCACCTCTCGTCACAAACTTATGAAAAGAGAATTATAAATCAGCCAAATGCAATATCGCTTTTGATCGTGAACTGAAGTGATTGCTGGCCCTGTTTCTTATGATTTAATTTGAAAACCTAAAAAAACTGGCAGCAGTATACTAATAAATGTTGGCAGACACAAAAATTATCTCGGGAGCCAAACGATCCCTTAAGATTACCGATCATTTCACGTGCACCCCCGCTAATGTTATCTATTGTAGAACGTGCACTTATTGCAAAAAGAGATAAATTGGTGAAACAGAAAGATGACAAGGTGACTTACTCTGAGAACGCCTTCGCGACTAAGAAAGTAATGACAAGGACGCATGCAAACCAGTTTCCATACACTTTAATCTCTCTTGTCATTCTATGCAGCACATGGCACTCTGCGGCGTTTCCTTACATCTATGCAGTTCGGAAAGCTGCAAAACTCTTGAACAAAATTTATCTTTCAAATCGGCACTCTTAAACCGAACGGTATCAACGAATGCCCTTCATTCAACATATTCAGTCTTGTTTTCTCGTCATTGCATTCCCACCAATAGCGTAGTTCCATTTTCAGCATATAAACACACACACAACCCACAATTCTTCCGTTCGCCCTCACAAAGGGCTAACGCTTGAAACGTCAGTTTCGAAACTCGACGGTGGCCAATATACTTTATCAACTCGGTTTGTTAAACCAAAATTATTTTGTTATACTCCCCCACTAACGCAGAACCACAGTTTCTTTAGAACCCCATTATTCATATGAATTAGCGAA